TAAGCGAAATTGTTATAAGTAGCAAACAGTTAATAAAGTCACACGAATCAAAGCATCAATTTCAGATTCTAAACATTGAATTCCTAATATGTTCACAACTCTAATTTTTAAGCTTCAAACTAAGCGAAATCAACATAAACATAGAGCATTTACAGATTCACATAAACTACGCGATTATGTGCTAGAGAACTAATTAACTAAGCGAAAATTAGTTCACAAACCTACATCAAAACCATGGAATTAAGCAAACCACAATATGAATTAGGATAGAAGATTCAAACGTAGAGAAATTGACATTAGAAACCGAAATGCATTAAGAACTAAACCTCAAGAGTGTGATACATTATCAAAGGAACTTAGTCCAAGGTCTAGCCTTCCATGGAGGAAGAAACCAAAACCGAAATTGAAGAAAATGAAGAAGAAGAAAAAGCCAAAACGAAAATGAACCCTAAACCCCAAAAGGGGGAAAACGAAATTCTCTCTTCCTAAAGCTGAAATATAAAGTGTGTAATGTAAAAAAGTGAGTGTGCAAAACGAATTCTAATGTTATAAGGGATTAAAACCGAAATGGGCCCTAAACAATGGGCCCAAAACCTAAAACGAAATTAAAAAGCTATTACAAATTACAATCTTCACTTTAGCACACATCCTCCACTTGTATTGCCCAAAATATCCTTGGTGCTAAATATGACCTGAAATTGGAATTAGATTTAATTAGGCTAAATAATCCCAAATTAACTCATTTTAGGAATAATAGTCCAATAAAGCCTAAAACACTAAACCATGCCAAACAAAGCCAATTAGACACCACAAATCATTAACAATGGTAAATTAAGGTTATGAATAATGTGTAATATATGAATCATCAATTTGTCCACAAACTCTTAGGCTTTTCTTTGGTTTCACCTTCCACTAGGTGTAGTGGAGTATAAGGGTCATTTTGTATGGCATCCCAAATATTCGTATCAATAGCCTCAATGAAAATCCTCATTCTGACTTTCCAGTAGGCGTAACCCTCGCCACTGAAAACCAGAGGGCGGGTGATGGATGAGTCATCGCTGCCGAAAAGTTTATTTGAGCCCATAGTATAAAATGCCTAGGATCAATGATCTAAGCGGTTAAGCTAGCACTGTCATACTAGATCTAATACCACTTGTTGATTATGTTATTTTAATCGATTATCTCTTATATGTGTTTAATCAATTAATATCAAGTTTAATCGATTAACTTGAATCTTTATTTCTTTGAAAAATAGTTTTCTTGCACTAAAAGTTACTACGATTTCAATCAATTCCAGGTGCGATTTACTCAATGCTTTTATGCCTAAGTATCAACTGAATTAGAACATGCAATAAACTCAGAAAGTAAAACAATTCAATTATACAAAGCGTAAATTGACTAAAATTAAAGAGATGTTGGATAGAGAGAATCAAGAAGACCATCTTTTATCCTGGTTCGTTTGCGGATCCACTTGCAAACTAGATTTAGGCCTCCCTTTCTTATCTTTAGATATTTTTCTTCACTATTGGAAATCAATGTTATAAAAACACACTTCCAATAATACAAGACTCCCTTCTTGGACCTAGAGTCCTCAAAATGGTTTGACCTTCTACCCGCTTCTAATGGATACTTAACACCACTTCTAAGTGTCTAGTCCCAACCACTTCAAAGAAAACTAAATCAATAGCATGTGATTTTTCGCTCAAAATATTTGAAAGTGTTTGACCTAGAATTTCATAATTGTTAGTTATGAGCCAATGGGGAATATTAGCTTTTTATATTTAACTGTTTTTTGTTAGTCTTTAATCGATTTATAATGTATTTCTTAATCGATTAACGACGCCAAGAATTAAAATGATTTAGGTACTATCACGTGAGATAATCGATTAATCCCTTACAGAATCAATTAACGATGCCAAGAAATTAAAAAGTTGTAGCTACTATAACTCCTCATAACCAATAATCCCATACTTAAACGACTAACGAGTTTCCTGGAATATTTAATTGATTAACTGTGTTGAAAAAATTTATTTGATGCATGATGAACCTTCTACATGATGTGTATATGCATGATCCATTATTTTGAAAGATGTAAGTGATAAACTAAGTTTAATGCATCAAAATCATGTAGAAATGTATGTAACTCTCATTTTAATTTGGTTCAATTTTATACTTTGTAAGACTTCCATTCAGGGTTCACCTAGCCTAGACTCTACCCAAACAAACATTTTCAGACTCTTGAAATATAAAATTTCACCGAAGTCTAATTGATTGAACTTGAGCCATGACCTTGTTGTTTGTTGAGTTGGCTTAGTCTTCAAGTTTGACTTTATCCTTGTCTTCATCAAAACAACATGATGATGCATACTTGCGATCTCATAAATTGTGGACGATTTCTCTAGATTCTCCTAGACATTGTTTCTCGCATTGAAAAGTGATACTTTTAAATCGTTTAAGAAACTTGCCAAACTTCTTCAAAATCAATTCAACCATAAAATAGTATGTATTTGAAGTTATCATGGTGGTGAGCTTGAAACCACCAATTCGAATAAATACTGTGAAAAACATGGCATTCATCATCAATATTCTGCTCCTGGAATTCCTCAACAAAATGGAGTTGTTGAGAGAAATAATCGAGTTCTTTAGGAGTTGGCTAGAACAATGTTAAATGAAATCAAGGTGCATAAATACTTTTGGGTCGATGGGGTACATATCGCATGTTATGTAATGAATAGAATCCTAATGAGGCCTATACTTTTGAAAACTCCCTACGAACTTTTAAAAGGCCGAAAACCAAATATTTCACATCTTCATGCTTTTGGATGCAAATGCTTCATTCAAAATAACAGGAAATATCAATTAAGCAAATTTGTTTCAAAATCCGATGAAGGAATATTCTTTGGATACTCTAATCATAGTAAGGCATATGGAGTCTATAACATACATACTATGAATGTTGAAGAGACAATTCATTAGCATTTTGATGAGTCTTCTCCAAAAGAAAAGAGAAAGGTTGTTCCTCATGGTGTTTCGGGTGCTCTTTAAGATGCATACACTAAGAATGTAGAATCTAAAAGAGTGTTGTAATATGATCAAGAAGCGAGTCAATATCATCAAGATATCCACGTGATTGGAAAATGAAGAAGGACCACCTCATCGATAAGATTAAAGGTGATATCTCAAAGGGAGTGGTAAAATGAAACTCTTTATGCAACATTAGTAACTTTTTCGCTTTTATTTCTCAAATTGAACCTCAGAGAATAGATGAGGCAATAGAGGATGAACATTGGGGAGTAGATATGCAAGAAGAGCTTAACCAATTTGAACGTAATAATGTTTGGGACTTGGTCTCTAGACCTAGTGGTCATCCTGTTATTCGCACAAAATGGTTTTTTGAAAAATAATTAGTTGAGACCGGATTAATTATTAGAAACAAGACAAGATTAGTAGCCAATGGTTATAATCAAGAGGAATGAATTGATTATGATGAAACCTATGCCCCCATTGCAAGGTTAGAGGTTACTAGGATACTTTTAGCTTTTGCTTCAATAATGAATTTCAAACTTTACCAAATGGATGTAAAAAGTGCATTCTTGAATGGATACATTTAAGAAGAAGTATATATTGATCAACCGCCTGGTTTTGAAAATTATAAGTATCCAAACCATGTCTTTAAGTTGAAAAAGGTACTTTATGGTTTGAAACAAGATCCAAGGCTTGGTATGATAGACTTAGTTAATTTCTTTTAGAAATAGGCTTTGTAAGGGGCAAAGTTGACACTACTCTTTTTGTATCTAGATTTGAAAAGGACATTTTGTTAGTTCAAATTTATATAGATGATATAATTTTTTGTGCAACTAGCGATGTCTTGTGAATGGAATTTTCTGATCTAATGAAGGGTGAGTGTGAGATGTCAATGATGGGTGAATTGACATTTTTCCTTGGGCTGCAAATAAAACAAATGAACAATGGTATCTTTGTTCATCATTCTAAATATTGCAAGGAGCTTCTGAAAAAGTTTGAGATGGATAAATCCAAAGAGGCTTCAATTCCTATGGCATCATCTTGCTATCTAGACAAGGACGAAAGGAGTAAGGTAGTATGGCATCATCTTGCTATCAAGCCTCTCCTAGAGAATCACATTTTTCTGCAATCAAACGCATAATGCAATACTTAAAAGGAACCATAAATATGAGACTTTGTTATCCTAGGGATCCCTCACTTTCTTTAATAGGCTATTTTGACTCCGACTTTGTTGGGTGCAGATTGGATCGAAAGAATACTAGTGGTATTTGTCACCTATTAGGTAGCTCACTGGTTTCATGGCATAATAAAAAACAAGCTTGTGTTACTTTGTCAACCTCCAAAATGGAGTATATATATATGTTGTGTGCAAATCCTTTGGACGAAGCAACAACCGTTAGACTATGGCCTAAAACTTGTTAAGATTCCTATCACGTGTAACAATACTATAGTTGTGCGAAACTCAAATAAAAAATTATTTCATAATTCATAAAAGTGTTCGGGTGATGGGAAAAGTGAATAAGGTTAGCAGTAACACATGTGACTAGTGCCAAGAAGTTACCTATAGGCTATATCCCTTAAATTGAGTAAAGAACATTGTTTTCCTAGAACTTCCGTTGCATTAGTAGTTCATGACATATCAAGAGGATAACTAGCAAAAATGGTTTCCAATAATTGATTATCAAACAGTTGTTGCTGTAACGAATAGACATCAATGACAATACCAGCCAACAACGTATCAATGATAAGATTGCTATTATTGGTATTGAATAGGACAACGTATTATTGGTAGTTTATGGTCATGTAACGAATAGTCATCAATGACAATACCAATTGTTTCTTCATCTCTTGATATTATTGGCAGTTTATGGTCATGATATTATTGAAACCAAAAGCCAAATTAATATTGTTTCTTCATATCTTGATATATATGAGGACTTGTAAATAAGATTCAGAAGCGGCTATAACGAATAGACATCAATGACAATACCAGCCCACACTTGCTGGAATGGTTTGACACTTGGTAATTGGCTATGTTAAAAATCAAACGGTGCAATAATCACTGTAGTTACATCAGGCTATCGTATTAGTTACAAAGCAGGTAACTGCAGCATGACATAACACACCACTCGCTACAACCACAATTTGAAATCCAGGAAGAGCAAGAATTTTGATCAAGAAAGAAAAACAGTTCTAGGGTCAAAACTCAAAATCTACCAAATCTGGTCATCCACTAATTAGTTCCATAACAGCAGCAATGTCACCATCTGCGGCTCTAAGAGCCTCAACAGCTCTTGATCTTTGAACTCCCATTTGGCCATCACCAATTCCAGGGTGGGCAATCAATTACTGAATATACTCAGCACCTCATTACTCAAAACTAAACCTGCAAAAGACAGGTAACATTCATCAAAGCCGGGTCGCCCGTGGTGCAAGAGTTGCAAGAAACTCATGGTAATAAAGGCTATATTCAGCAGTAGTTCAGTATGCTAGCTAAAAGGGAAAGGAAAGAGGAGAAACTTAGATACAGAAGTAAGAAAGGATGAAACTAAAATACAACTTTTGGAACACCATATTGGCTTCGGAAGCATGGAACCGTACAGAGCACCCTCAAGATTCTTCTAAACAAACCTATTGCACAACATCAAGGGGCATGAGTCTGTACAGTATCCGGAGGCCCTGCAAAAGAAGCATACCAGTCAGAAGTGATACAAAAGGTTGAGGTCATCAAGGGAGCAGCCAAACCTTTACTGGTTCCACAGTACCATATATTAATTATGGAAGCTAAATAAAGGGATCTACAGCATAGCAAAAGCAAATTACACTAGAGGTGTAGTTTGACTACTTAATTACACATTTGCTACTTAATTACACATTTGCTGTAACTTTTTGGTTTATTACCAATATAGTGCATTTTACAAAAATCGTGTTTCTTGTGCACGATTTTTAGACAAAACTGTGACTGGTGTACAAGAGTCTGTCACTTTCTCAAAACTCGTAAACAATGTCCACGATTTTAATTTATTTTAATATTACTTTTTGAAATCGTGTTCCATAAACACGTTTTTCTTTCTATATTAATTACAAATGTACTCATTGATTTAGTGGTTTTTGATTTATAAAATAAGGTAGAGAAAGTGTCCACGAGTTTTGAGAAAGTGACAGACTTGTGTACACCAGTCACAATTTTATCTAAAAATCGTACACAAGAAACACGATTTTTGTAAAAGTGTACTATATTGGTAATAAACCAAAAAGATGCACCAAATATGTAATTAAGTAGTCAAACTAGACCTCTGCTGTAAATTTGCCGCAGAGCAAATGATTAACAGAAAAGCCAGACGGATGGGAATAACTAGCATATAGGTACTGAAATGTAAAATATAAGGGAAATTCACCATAGTGAAGACCATTAGCTTATTTTCTTACAGTTACCTTGGGCATAGGCACTCAGAAGCTGGGTTAGTTGAATTAGTCAATAAATTAGTGTTTTATTAGGGTCTGTTTATTTTTGATTATGCCAATAAATCCTATTTATCTGGATATTGCAGTTTCATTTTCAAATCAATTACATTACATGAGTGGAAGATGTAAGGGTTATTTTGTTATGTTGTCTATGTAAGGCTATATAAGTTAATGTTTGTTTCTGAATAATACAGTGTTTTTGCAGAACTTCAATCCTTGTTTTTTGTTCTTAATATTCAACAAATTTGGTATCAGAGCTCCATCACAGGGGCCTGATAAAAAGAAAGGAAAGAGAGTGAAAGGGTTATGGCTACGAAAAGCAATTTTGTACAACATGCAATCCCTAAGTTTGATGGTCATTATGATCACTGGTATATGCTTATGGAAAACTTCCTTCGATCCAAGGAATATTGGACTTTAGTTGTCAATGGAATACCTACTGCATCCAATGGAGGAGAGTTAACTGAGGCTCAATGCAAACTGATTGAGGAGCATAAATTAAAGGATCTCAAAGTCAAGAATTATTTGTTTCAGACCATAGACAGGACAATTTTGGAAACTATCCTAGTCAAAGATACATCAAAGCAGATTTGGGACTTCATGAAGCAAAAGTATCATGGATCAACAAGGGTGAAGCGGGCACAATTACAAGCATTGAGAAGAGAGTTTGAGATTCTACAAATGAGGGAAGGAGAGGGAGTAGACGAGTACTTTGCTCATATTCTAACCATTGCTAATAAGATGAAGATACATGGTGAGAAGATGGATCATGTTGTTATCATTGAGAAAATTATAAGGTTTATGACCTCAAAATTTGACTATGTAGTTTGTTCAGTGGAGGAATCAAATGATCTGGACACTCTAACGATTGATGAACTACAGAGCAGCCTCTTAGTCCACGAGCAAAGAATGAAAGGGCATGTAGGTAATGAATAAGCTCTCAAAATTGCTTATGATGACAGATTTGGAGGTAGAGGAAGAGGACGAGGATCACTAAGAGGACGAGGTCGAGGTAGAGGAAGACAACCATTCAACAAAGCAATTGTGGAGTGTTACAAGTGCCATAAACTAGGACAGTTTCAATATGAATGTCCTAGTTGGGAAAGGAATGCAAAGTATGCTGAAGTGAAGGAAGAAGAAGATGAGATGTTGTTAATGTCTCATGTGGAACTTCAAGATTCTTGAAGAGATGGTGTGGTTTCTTGATTCAGGCTGCAATAACCATATGTGTGGGAACAAAAAATGGTTCTCACACCTTGATGAAAGTTTTAGACAATATGTAAAGCTCGGGAATAATTCTAAGATGGCAGTCACTGGAAAAGGAAGCATTAGATTGGAGGTTAGTGGGATAAAACATATGATCACAAATGTATTCTACATACCAGAGTTGAAAAACAACCTGCTTAGCATTGGGAAACTCCAAGAAAAAGGCCTAACTATCTTGATCTAGGGAGGAAAGTGTAAAATGTATCATCCAGGGAGAGGCCTAATCATGGAGATAAGAATGTCGGAGAATCGAATGTTTGTGCTTCCAGCCACAATTTTGCCTAGTGACTCTACCAGTTTTCAAACTACATTAGAAGATAAGTCATACTTATGGCACTATAGGTATGGTCATATTAATTTTAAGAGCTTAAAAGCTTTGCAACACAAGAAGATGGTGAAGGGATTACCTACTCTTGACACTCCTTGCAAGCCATGTGTAGATTGCCTAGTGGGGAAGCAGCATCAGAACACTATTCCAAAGACAAGTTCATGGAGAGCTTGCAAAAGACTTCAACTGGTCCATGCAGACATTTGTGAGCCAATCAAACAAGATTCAAACTCTAAAAATAGGTATTTGATTAGTTTCATCGATGATTTTAGCAGAAAAATTTTGATTTATTTTTTGTGTGAAAAATCAGAAGTATTTGGGGTTGGGGTGTTCAAGAATTTTAAGCAGTGTGTTGAAAAGCAATCTGGTGTTTTCATAAAATGCTTGCGCAACAGACGGGGTGGAGAATTTACTTCTTTGGAGGTCAATATTTTTTGTAGGGAGAATGGAATTAAAAGGCAATTGACAACAGCGTATACCCCTCAACAAAATGGGGTAGCTGAGCGAAAGAAGCGAACGATAATGAATATGGTTCGAAGTATGTTGTCTGAAAAAGAAGTACCTAAGGTGTTTTGGCCGGAAGCAGTAAATTGGAGTGCGCATGTGTTGAATCGAAGTCCAACAATTGTACTGAAGGATGTCACCCCAGAAGAAGCATGGAGTGGTGTTAAACCTGCACTAGACTATTTTAGAGTGTTTGGATGTGTTGCACATGTACACATTTCGGACAAGAAGATAGTAAAATTAGATGATAAGAGCTTTCAATGTGTCTTGTTGGGAGTGAGTGAAGAATCAAAGGCCTATAAACTTTATGATCATGCATCTAAATGTATTGTTGTTAGCAGGGATGTAGTATTTGAGGAGAATTTGAGTTGGAATTGGGGAAGAACTATATAAGAAGTGAAGCTTGATGTTTTAGAATGGGGAGATGAAGATGAACAAAATGAATTTGATCAAGGCAATGAAGACGACAACAGTGAGCATGATGAAGAAGGTGGAGTCACTTCATCTTCAAGTGAGTCTTTAGATCAAAGTTCACCAAGCTCAGATGAAGGAAGAAGTAGAAGGCCTTCAATTTGGATGGAAGATTATGTTACAGGAGAGGGGTTAGATTTATCTAAAGAAGATTATGTTACTGGAGAGGGGTTAGATTTATCTAAAGAAGATGTTGACAATTTTTTCATGTTTGTTGTTGTTGATCCTGTTTCATTTCAAGAGGCTGTGAAAAGCGTGAAGTGGAGAGAAGCTATGGATTTAGAAATAAGAATAATTGAAAAAAAATGAGACATGGGAGCTAATCACTCTACCTCATGGAGCTAAGAAAATTGGTGTGAAATGGGTGTTTAAAACAAAACTTAATGAACATGGGGAAGTAGACAAATGCAAAGCACGACTTGTGGCTAAGGGATATGCACAAGAGCATGGAATTGATTATAATGAGGTGTTTGCCCCAGTTGCAAGATGGGACACAATCAGGATGGTGATTGCCCTTGTAGCACAAAAGGGTTGGAATATTTTTCAAATAGATGTAAAGAGTACTTTCTTGTATGGTGAGTTGGCAGAAGATGTTTTTGTGGAGCAACCACAAGGTTATGAGAGGAAAGGAGAAGAGTATAAAGTCTATAAGTTCAAGAAGGCATTATATGGTCTTAAACAAGCTCCAAGGGCATGGTACAACCGCATTGAGTCATATTTTATGAAGCAGAGGTTTGAAAGATGTAGCTTTGAGCATACACTCTTTATTAAGTCTGCAATTGGAGGAAAAATTATTGTTGTTAGTTTATATGTTGATGACCTTATATTCACTGGTAATGATTTGAATATGTTTGATAATTTTAAAAGGTCTATGATGCTGGAATTTGAAATGAGTGATCTGTAACATCTCAAATTTATCCTCCTTGAAATTAGGTAACAGTCCTGAAGAATGGAGCATACTGCCAGATTCTCGCTTGAGCGAGAGGATCTCGCCCAAGCGAGAGGATATCGCCCAAGCGAGAGGATCAGTGTTTTGAATTTGGAAATTCTGGGAGTCTTGCCCAAGCGAGGAATGAGTCGCTTGAGCGAGAGAAAGTCTGGGCAGGCTGTGAGATTCTCGCTTGAGCGAGAGAATCTCGCCCAGGCGAGAGAGCCCGTGTCTGGAACATTAAAATATCGTGGGTTTCTCGCCCAAGCGAGATATTCTCGCTCGGGCGAGAGTGCCCAGCTATAAAAGAAAAGAAAGGGTTTCACAAACCCTAATCTTCATTTTCTTTTCTCCCCTTTCACTCCCAACGGCGGCTCCCCATAGATTCTGACTCATTCCTCCTCTAAACCTCAAAAACACATCAAAACCTCTTCCTCTTGCTTCTTAATGGAACATTGGAGAGCTTTGGAGAGGAAAAAGCAACAATGGAGGTTGAAGGAGATGGAGGGAGATAGAGCTCATTGCGGATCCATGGAGCTTACGCAACCTAAGGTGAGGGAGAAGACCATTGTGGTCTTAGAGTATTTCATTAGAGTCATCATCTCCGATTTCCCTCAAGAATCGGAGCACATTAACGGATAGAAACTCTCTTGGGAGTTTGTGGTCCATGTGAGGGTCTTTATTTTACATAAGGATGTATTAGCCGTAAAAGTGGAAACATATATGTGGAGAAAACCGTTTATGAAAGTACAACGCCATATGCCCCTTTATGGTAATACAAC